AGAAGGCAGTTTCGATTGGTACTCATTTTCTGTCCTTGTTACAAAGCACCCTATTTTGTACATGTTACACTTGGAGCTCACAGCACATTTATGGGCAGTTTCTTATTCCAAAACAGATTCAGTCACACATGTAAAGATTGCTTTGATTTTAAGAGTTTCTCTGAACTCCTACCCAGTTCATTCCTGCTTTCATATTCAGGGAAAGCACACTGGTTAATCTTAAGCCAAGAGGCAAAAATCCCACCTTAACCTTGACTAGGAAGGTATTTTGATGCTTTTGAGTTCATTGCTAGTGGTGATTTGAATGAAGCAGAATTCTTGGTTATTGAGACAAATCCCTATTAGGAGTTACCCCCAACGACCATCCGATTACCTTCACCCTAGAATTTCTATTTTCCAAATATTAAAGATGCATAGCCAGCTAACTACAGTATTGTGTGGTCCAAAGGATCCTTCAGTTAGCTGTGTGCAGGTTTTGAGGTACTCCCAACCACCTGCAATTCTCCACTCCTACTTTCTCAGCCCTTTACTTTTGGTTTAGCTTTATTGTCAGCTGTCGGGAGACTTGGGCAATATCTGAAGTAAGCAAAATTGCCAAGTGGATGAGATGCCCTTGTAAACAGGTGGTGGTGCCCTGCAGGATCTGCTGGCTGCCTCTTCTTTCTCTTCGGTCTCTCTCCATCTCTGTTCAGCACCTCCGTCCATTTGTGAGTTCCAGAAACATGTCCCGTTTGTTCACACAGCACTTTCCATGGCTTCAAGTATACTATGTACAGCTGTAAATCCTCTAAATTCTGATGTAAAAATAGGCCAATTTTTGGCAGTTAGCTATATACTCCGTCATAGCCTCTAAGTAGACTATATCCCATCCCACCCTAATCTCAGTATGGATTTCCACCCCCCAAACTCAGAATGAGGATAAGAGCCAGTAAGAGCAGCATCCTTCCGTTTCAAGCTCAAATGGGGTGATGGATGTTAACGTACAAAGCCGTTGTCTACAAACGAGTGTGTTTGCCATTCAGGCTTACAATTCAGGCAAATTGGGTATAATGACCCACAGGTTAATTGTCGCGCAATGACGCGCAGCGCCTAAGCGGTCAGGGGAGCTGTGGCTTCGCAGCAGCGGGCGGAATAGTGGTCAAGACCTAGAACCGCGGCGCTGGCCATCCAGCTGCTTCTTGAAGTCAAGGTCTCAGTTCCTGGGCTGGTTGGAAAGTGCCAGGCCCTCAGTGCATTTGGTGTTCCAACACCCAGGTCTCCCCTGCACCTTGCTCTCTTGCTCGCCTTCTGGGTTCCCCAGCTGTTCAGTTGGGAGAGGATGGCCTTCCGACTGCGGCGGCACCGAGGCCGTGGTACCGCTGTGTTTCAGCCTGGCGGGTGGCGCCGTCTCAACTCCCTGCACAAAGCCCCAGACCGGCAGCGGCAATGTCCCTCGTTGCTTGCAAGGCTCACGTTTCAAATCTGCTTGTGCGCCGGTTTCCGTGTGCTACAAAGTGTCTGGTTAGATGTTCCCCAAACAATCCACTTGGCAGACTGCACAGCCACTTCGCGGCTCACCCCATAAGGCTCAGGGAACTGAGTGAGTGCCCGAGGCCGAACTCTCTAGGGGATGATGGACTGCTCTGTGGGCAGAAAGGTCAAGGAATGAATGAAATCTCACAGGGCTGGTTCACCTAGGGCGAAGCTTGTTCCCCCAAGCATAGCGGCATAGTGAGAGCCGACACAGAGCTAGTAATCCCTTCACCCTCGCTGTGTGGCATCAGCTGTTCCTTACAACCGCCTGAGAGTTCCACAAGTTACATTTGGGCAACAATAGTGTTTAACGTTTTATTAGAAATCACTTAAACAATGACTAAGACTAAGACGTTACATGGAGTTAAGTGCGCGCATGCACACACACACAACCAAATAAAACAAAAAAACCTCTTCTGGAAACTACTATTACCTCTAAAGAATAAATTTAAAAAGTGATCCTCTAGAGGCTTACCAAATAAAACTACTCAATATTTTAGAAACTGTATCTCAATTCTCTGTGTCACTGGATTTGGGAATGGCATGCCACCATCTTTGGAAAAAAGAAAAAATCTGGACTGTGTCAACACACAGGCTGCACCCACAAGCTGGCCTGTGCTCGGCAGCAGGAGAATACTGTGCAGGCTCCGGTTGCATGTGGAGTTTATGCTGCCACCACACAATGCCTTGTTTCTCCTGCTAACAAATCCACAACCAAAACGCCCGTTGATTTGGTCTTTAATTTTGACTCACAAATTTAAAAGTCCTTCTCCATGCTTGGTATGCAGTGAAGTTAACAAAGCAAGACCATGGAAGGTTTTTAATGAACAGGACTGAGCCGCTGATTTGCTTTAAATGGAAAGTAAACAGTCACTAACAGACTAGAGTTTGAACACAACATCTGTGTTGATAGAAGGCCGATTGGCTACTTGGGGTGACCATTAGATTTAGTTATAAGCAGAGTCTTAAGTGGAAAACAATCGGGTTACCCCCCCCATACACACACCCTTCTATTTACAAAATATCCCTCTTGTGTCCTTTAAAATTTCTCTCACGCACACACACACATACATACACCACAGTTTACAACCCGGAGTAGATTATACAAAGTACCTGCAATGCCTGCTGTTCTTCACAACTTTGATTCTGGGTTTTAGTTTCTCAGGCTCCGTTGGAAGGGAGTGTTAGACTTCAACCATTTAGGGAATGGCCACATCTGCAGAGCCAGGGCATCTGAAACAGAGGCGTCTGCTCAACTTGGATGGGCTTTGTTCCGCTCAGACCCTGGGCCCTCCTTGCTCTTGGCGCAGAGACACTTATCCTCCTCTTCAGTTAATGAGTTTCACCTAGTCTGGCCGTCTGTGTTGTTATGAAAGCTCCGCCAGGCACTATCCACAGCAGAAGGAAAAGTTCTCGCTCTGCATTATCAGAAGGGGGAGTTTTATATTAACTTAGTGTTTGAGGATTCAGGCCTGTTCCCGGCTCCATGAGAGGAACACAGAAACTCGGCTGGGCTCTTACACTACTTACGGAGATGCTGAAAAGGAAAACAAAATGAGCTTACACCAAAACCATCTTTAAAGATGTATCTTCTTCATGATACTATTATGTTTGATAATTTCATCAGTTTGAGGAATTCTTTGTTCTGGAAAGAATTAGCAAGGAAAAAAAAAACTCCATGAGTTTTTATCACCTGGGGCCTTTAAACCATCAGCTATCATTTTTCTAGGGACTACACCATAAAGATTACTCTAAACCATGTGGTTGTTTTAGAAACTTTTCTAGAAATAGGATTTCAGAATTGATACAATGACAGTAGTATGCACCTGATGTAACACAGCAATTTGAAAGATGACATTCTATCAAAACCTTCTGAAGTCTCCTATATTGTGAAGTTGTCCTGGCCTGATCAACATTTCCATAGGAGGTGAGTGCACCCTTTCCATACTAATTTGCTCAAATGATTTCTTTTGTGTAAGATGTTTTTAAAATTAAATTGCATTGTCCAAAAATTGACAGACACTGAAGCTGCGCCCCTTGTCTCTTTTTAGACTTTGTGAAAAAAAAAATTAAATTTATTAGACATAGTGCAGACCAAGGTGCAAGCGTGTCCTCCGCATTTACTCTGCGTTCAAAAAGCTGCTCAGTTAGGTGAAATAACATGTTTCAAACCCAAACTGTATTCTAACACCTCCACTGCTCCCAGTGACTTCCTGCATTTTCATCAATTTCCTAAGCTTACCTTCTTCGGTATTAGCAATTTTACTCCAAAGTCAGTTATGAAAATGACAAAATCAAGCTGAGCTGTCACATCAAGCCATACACATACATACACACACACACACACACAGAACTCTATACCCTTAATGAAAAAGAAATGACCAGTTGACTTTTAGGAAAAAGTACTTAAGGTTCTTTTAAGTTATATTTAAATATCCATTTGAAACATAGGAAATATAAATTGGCATATTAAAGAATAGATACATTGTTTGTACAATAAGACACCAACAAAATCGGTGTAACTCCTATTAAGTTTTAAACATGATGGAAAAATTATAATTTTATTCTTTACATCTCGATTACAGTTCAGTGAGTCGCCCCGTTCTTGGACTACGGATCAGTTGCCGTCAGCCTGAGCCATTTCACTTGGCCCCTCTAGGATTTCATTCAGCAGACAAGAAATGACCTCCAAGAGAGTAAACACCATGCCTACAGAAAGACAGGCTCTATTTATTTTATCAGTTGGCTGGGGAAGGGGGAGTGGGGACCAGATTCCATTTAAAAAGTCATTTACAACCTTTTTTCCTTGCATCTTAGAGGGAAAATCTTCCGGTAGCATAATATACAAACATTCATGTGCCAAATCGTCGTGGAAACATGTTGAAATGAGTAGGAGACTTAAAAGCTCTCCCAATTCACGGGGTCCATATTTTGATCTTGATGCCTTGGCCCTACGACCTAAATGGCAATAATTCCCCTGCGATAACGTTGCTGTGGGCATGATCAACCTACAATTCAATTTACTTGCAATCAAACACTAATGAAATTGCACTTGGGGGTGGGATGAGGAGGGGGGAGGGGTGGGCTCCTAAGAAAACGAATCTCCCAAGAGGAAACAAAACAAAACAAAACCACACTTAAAGCTGGCTTGATTCCGCGCCCCCCCCCTCCCTTTAAGAAATACAAATACCCACAAAGCTTTCAACTTTTAAAACTCTTGAGAGCTTTGGTTAGGTACGCGGCGGCGGCTGGCGGGGTTCAAGCACCCTGTCGCCTCATTTAGAGACTCCTGGAAGGAGCCGAGAACCCTTGGAAGCCTCGCGCCCAGGCTTGCGGCTGTCACCCACCGTCCCCGGTCTTGGTCTCTGGTCGCCGCGCATACTTCGAAGACATTCGGCTTCCGCGCACGCCGCACCCCCAGCCCCTGTCCGCCTTCGCAGTTTCAGGTCCACCATTCGGGGGGGGCCACGTTCAGGACCTCCGCACGGTCACCACGTCCTGCCATAGAGCAGGTTGGCGCCCAGCACGCCGCCACCGCCGCCGTAGTCCCCAGCGGCCGCGTCCAGGGCTGCCAAGCCGCCTCCGGGGCCGTGCAGCGCTGGCGGGCTGGGCGACAACTCCTCCAGCTCGGGCGCGGGCGTCGCGGCCGGCGGCTGCTGGCCCGCCTGGCCCGGCGTGGGCGTGCCGGCGCCGTTCTGGCACGGCTTGCCGTCCTTGACCAGCACGGGCACGGCCACGCGGCGCGGCGACGGCGGCGGTGGCGGTGGTGGCGGCGGGCCCAGGCCGCCCTCCTGCTGCAGCTGCTGCGCCGCCTTGTCCTTGGCCTGCCGCTTCATCTTGTAGCGGTGGTTCTGGAACCAGATCTTGACCTGCGTGGGCGTCAGGTGGATCATGCTGGCCAGGTGCTCGCGCTCGGGCGCCGACAGGTACTTCTGCTGCTTGAAGCGCCGCTCCAGCTCGTACACCTGCGCCTGCGAGAAGAGCACGCGCCGCTTCCTGCGCGGGGCCGCGGCCGCCGCGTGCAGTGGCGCCAGGGACTTGGCGGCGTCCGCGATGCCTGTCAGCGACCCCATGCCGGCCACGTTCACGCCCGCCGACGGCCCCATGAACCTGGAGACTGGGGAGGAGGCCCAAGGGGGCAAGGCCAGTGAGCGGCAAGGCCCGCCACCTGCCGCCGTGTCCCCTAGTGCTCGGCCCGCGTCCCCAGCAGCAGCCTCCCCAGGAGCGCGCGCGCGCGCGCGTGTGTGTGCCCCAACACTCACCGCCCCGGGGACCCCAGGACACCCACCCCCTCCGACCCCGGAGCCCCGGACCAGGGGTCCATCCCGAGGACCAAGCATCCTGGCGTCCCGGGCTGTGGCACGCGAAAACCTCGCACCCGCCCGCCTGCCCGCTGTCCCGCGCGCACGGCCCCCCGCTCACTTGACGAGTAGCGCGGGTCCGAGTTGGCGCCGTACCAGCCGGTGGCCGCGGCGGCGCCCCGCATGCCGTCCGTGTAGGCGGGCAGCTCGCTCATGTTGCCCAGGCCACCGTTGCAGTAGCCACCCATGGCGCCGTGAGGGAACTGCGAGACGCCGGGCGGCATGTGGTAGGTGGCGGCCGCCGCCGCCGCTGCCGCCGCCGCCGCCGCCGCCGCCGCCGCGTTGTGGCCCGCCATGGCGTGAGGAGGCTGCATGCCGGCCACGGCCGCCGCCTGAGACGACGACGACGACGACGACGACGAGGGCCCGGGCGGCGGCGCGCGGTAGGCGGCCCCCAGGGGAGCCCCCAGGCCGGGCGGCGCGCCGTCCATGGCGCCGCCGAACTTCTTGTAGGTCTCCTCGATGGGACTCAGGATGTCGGACACGGAGAAGGGCGTCGTGTGCTTGGGGCTCAACGACATGGCTCGGCGGACGGCCAGGGTAGGGGAGGCCCGGGGCGGGCGCTGCTCGCCGCCGCCTTGGGCCGCGCCTGGGGCGAGGAGTCGGCTGCGGCGCGGCGAGCCCCGCGCGCTGCGGGAGCTGCGGTTTATTTTAGTCCGGCGCCAGGTTTACGACAGACTCGGGGGGCGGAGCAACATCCCAAACGAGCAAACAATGGTCATTGACATCTTTTTTCTCCCTCTCTCTCTCTTTCTCGCTCTCTCTCTCTGTCTCGCACGCCTCCTTTCGACCTCCCCATAAAGGAGGCAAGAAAAAAAAAAAAAAGGTGAAGGCCTATGTTGATGGGTGGGGGACAATTGGGTGCTTCTGGCCAGAGATCACCCCCTTGGCCTCGTCGGTGCTGCGCGTCTCTGTCTGCGACAATCGTCGCGGCTGGACGTGAGGGACGCAGCGCTCGTCCCCCGGGGCAGACGGAGTTTTCCCTCAAGTGACTTTCACGGTGGCGAAGTACGGGGTAACTGGGGAGGTGCCAGGGGCGGGGGGCGGGGAGCGAGGAAACGGGCTGCTAAGTTTGGGGGCGTAGGGGAAGGATTGGCCCTGCTCGCTCCTCGCTCTCCCAGCTCAGCCGCTCTCTGGCTCCATCATCTAAAGTGTTAAAAAAGAGAGAAGGGGGGGGGGGTGGCTCTTGGTCCCACGATAAGAGCGCATAAAGAGAAGAGGTACAATGACCGGCCCTGCCATTGTAGGGATCCCTAATTTATGCATCTTTAAACCCTTGAGCATCATTTTGTGGGCAACCGAACGGACACTTCCAAATTAGCTCAGAGTTACCCAGCTCCAAAGAAGAGAGAAAACGCGCGCGCGCACACACACAGACACACACAAATTACACAGACGCGCACTTGTAAGTATTTCTGTTTTTACTCCGTAGGGATGGAGGTTGAGCAAGGCAAACACGACGCGTACAGATTTGCTCGAATGTGTTCCCCTGGCACCTGCAAGGGTCTTTTCTGCTTTTTGCCCATATTTCCTTTGCCCTCCTTTCTCTCGGTCTCTGAAAGTAAGTATGGAATCTAAGAATTCTTCTCCGTCAGGATGCGAAAAGAAAGGGGGGAAAAAACCCTAAATTCCCCAAATTTTCTGGCAGTTTGCCATGGGTCTTTCTGTTGCGGTTGCTGGAAAAAATACTAACGTCTTCAAGGAATATAAAAAATGGAAAATGAGGGTGAAAGGGGGCTTGTTTATGAAAAACGTACGGAATCGCAGATAAATTGGTTTTGACAAAAACTTTGCCGTTTGGATTTGCTAATTTCCCTGCATAAGAAGGATGAATTTAGACACTGTGAAGTGTCAAATGCTGAACAAGACGAAGAATATAACAAAAGAAGTGTGCAAATCACGTGGAATGAATTCTTAGAAACGGTCTTAGAAACTTAGAAACGGTTTTTACGGTAAAGATAAAAACCAGCAATAAATAGGAAAATGAAGATCTCATTTTAAACATTTCTGGGGACAGAACAGAAAGAAAAACAAAATAAGAAGAGTACTTTTGAAAGCCAGACTTTAGCGTTGATTCCCCCACTCCCCTTATTTGGAAAGAAAAAGATGCCCAAGCTGACAGCCCAGCTTTAAGGGAGGTACCGCTTTTTCTGCTTGGTTTCAGCCCGTGGGTGGGTCGTGCTCCGCTTTCACCTTCCTGTTTTAATGACTGCTTTGTTCACTTCAGTCGCTGTGTCCATCTGGTTCCCCAGTGGGCAGTGAGTGACGACTAGCCAAGTGTCCAGAGTGATGTCGTCCTAAAATACACGCTGAAGCAACGGGTTGTGAGGTGCTGTGAACTGCGTCCAGCCAGTGGGTTATGGACTTAGGTGAGTTCTGCTGACGATCTAATGTGGGGCTGCTTCTGTAGATCGCCCTGAACTGTTAACACTGGCGCGACGTCTTCATCTTCACCCGCAATGGAACTGCCTCTTTCTACTTTCTTTCTTTCTTTTTGGTCTGATTTCAATTGAAGATACACAAGGAAGCATGTATCTGTTTAAGCAGTTTCTGGGATCGTTCTGAAAACTCCAGTATGACTTTTAAATTTTCAATTTAAATTGTATTGTTTGCACATTTTTACTGGTATATGTGAAAAATAGAAAATCTTGTCAAACTTTCATCAAGGCAGCAGGTACGTTTAGAAAAGGAAGGAAGGGAGAGAGGGAAGGAAGGAAGGGAGAGAGGGAAGGAAGGAAGGGAGAGAGGGAGGGAGGGAGGAGGGGGGAAAGGCTGTGTTTATAACGTTTGTGAGGAAAAGTCACTATGAACCATTTTTTTTTCAAAGTCAAAAGTTTTTCAGAAAGCAAACTTACAATCTCCGTATTGCCACCACATCGAAAACTTGTTTACAATTACAATTTTCTGGGAGGTTGCTATTGACTCTGTTTGTAGACTAAACTTTGAATGTCCTAACCAGTTTCTTCATCAAACAATTGGCGAGTGGTTACACTTCAGCTCTCTGTGGGGCAGTTTGCTTTTGAACTGCGCTGGGTCCTACACAAGTACATTTACATCTGAAAGATTCGTAGATTGAAATGAAAAGCAGTGACTTGGTGATACCTGAAGAGTCTCTGCAGGGCCCCCATCTCTGGCTGATTGGGAGCATAATTAGCCAGACAGTATTTCTGGAAACACATTAACTACAGTCCTCATCATTTCTCCCTGTTGATTATCTGTGTCTCTCTCTCTAGAAATTTCACACCCTTCAATTGAAAACACTTTCGGAGTCTGTGCAGATGATGCTGAGCCTAGAGGTAGTTTAGGGGTTGGAGGGTGCATATGTTCATTTATAACGCATTTTTTAAAATCTGACTGTCCATTAAAGCCTTTTTGTCTCGTTTAGTTCATCAGAGTACAGTCTGCTCAAATTATGAATGGAAGTTTGTACTTAGTAGATTCTTAGATACTGGATTTCATAAGGAAGTATAGTTCTCAAAAAATCTTTCTTGACTTTTTTTTTTTCATATTTAAAAACAATGAGGACACTTGAGGCAGGAAGCAGGGAGGGGAGGGGACAAGGAAACCAAAAATCAAGAAAATATTCCCAAAGAGGTTGCAGTTAAGAGAGTTCCTTCTGCTGACTTCCAGCTTCCCGGTTCCCTGGCCGGGAGACACTGGGTGATGGCTGCTGTGTTTTCTGGGATAACAGAGGGGTGGGTACCTGCCTTTATTCCCATACTTTAGGTCATTCTAGTGTTGCAAATTGCACTGAACAGTGAAAACTTAGCAAGATAGGCAGAGACAGAAATTTGTCTTCAACAAAAAGATTCAGGAAGAGCTCTCGGCTTCCAGGCAGACATGCAGTATTTGTTGCAAATTCTTCCTGGGTTACCCTTAGGGCCAGGAAAAAATGGCAGAATTCTGCAGAAGTTTGCTCTTGTTCGGCAGCCCCTCCAAGCCGGGGCCTGGGAGCAGTGGTGAGAGCCTCTGACATGCCCACTTTGAAGTGGGGCTCTGAGCGGGGCTGTGCTGTTTTGAATTTCCTCATCAAGTCGGTGTTTGAAAAACTTGCTGCTTGAGTCTCAAGAACATGAAGTGCCTGTGGAAATGAGACACTTGCTGTGTTTGGGATCAGTTGAACACAGTTGTGAAATCATTTGGTTCCTAAAACTCGTGTTGTGGGATTAGCTTTAAAATAGTCTTCTTTGCAGTGGAAAAAGAATAAAGAAACATCAAAGATGGTATTTTTGTAGCAAAATGTGAGGTTATAAAAAAAATGCATAGCTGAAACAAAGTTTAGTTGTTGGAAAATTTTTGCTGATTTCACCAGCTCCTGGAATCTGGTTCTTTTTCATTCCCTTGGAGGCTTTTCGTCTTAAATGTTCGTTTCCATTCTTTAAAATTTCTGACACCTTTAAAATTATATATATTTAACTTTATCAGTTCTCTTTGGCACAGGAAACCTTTCATGTTTTCTTTGCAAAATGCAAAATCCTTGCAATTGATTCTTTAAAAATGTGGAGTTACCTGTTTGTAAGATTTGGATATTTTAGTTTAAAATTAGCTCTCTATTTCCTGATCCATTAATATGTTTTAAATGAGCAGGATTGTAGAACCAAGGGAGAGTGAATGGCATCATTACTGTATTAATCATCATAATAATGGGATTCAGTTAAATGATTTCTAAGAAAGAAAAGATCCAAACCAACCACGAAAGCTCTTGGTGCCTGATTTTCAATGTGTGAGACGAAAGCAGGAGGTTAGAACAGATGAGTGAAAGCTTGCTCTCAGCCCAGCATCACGAGCTTGAGCTGGAAAGGTGAATTTTTTTTTTCTCTGTTTTAAAAATTAGTTTTTAGGGTAAGTAACGTGATGGGGAAGCAATGGTAGCATTAAAATAATATGTCTTACTGCTCAATAACAAGTTTGCCTTCATATAGCTTGTTGAGAACGTTTAGAACACTTTAGAACAGGAGGACACTTAAAGGAAAAATCCTTTGAGTTTTAAACAAAGCTGAATTTCTGTTACTCTTTTGATAGGGAAGTAGTTATTCTCAATGTTCTGTATTTCCATATCTATCTAATTATAAGGAGTGTGTATAGTAAATTGTTTATGTATTAGTAAACTAGTTACTAAGTTACTGCTTTTGATAATCAAGCTTTACTATGCATATTTTAGAATAATTAGAATAATGTTGCCAGGAGAGGGATATTTGCTTCCTTTAGTCTTTTTGTTCTTGTGTACTGCTAATGTTGAGTTTTTTAGCAGATAGTAATAATGTATCATATGTATCTGTCTAAATTTGGAGAGTTGGGCTTAGAACTAGACAATACTTTATTGTTCAACTCAAAAATCAGCAATTTGGTAGATTTTAAGCAATTTAATTGTTTATTTAATTGATTACATTGAAAAGCTTGATAGAAAACAATTTTCTTATTCTGTTTGAGTCAGCAAGGGCCACAAGGAGAATCTGACTGGCAGAGTTGTCTCAAAATTTTTTTTTTAAAAGACAATGAATAAAATGAGTCTTGAATCACATCTTATGATTCA